CCCTTTCAGAGCAGGAGCCCCTCCCGGAGTTCCCCCAAGCCAGCCCCACATCCAGGGGGCTCTTATCCGGGTTCGGGGGGGGGAGTGCTACCTTGTTCCGGGCGAGACGGGCCCCCGCGGCGGGGGTGGGGGGGGGTGCTGGCCCGGCCGCAGCAGCAGAGGGCTCCGTCCTGGCTTTGCAGGGAGACTCAGGGCGACCGACCCCCGTGGGGTTTCCCAGGGAAGAGATTCCCGAGCGGGCTTCGCTGTGGCCTGCCCCTGCACCGTGACCCTGGACCCTGGTCGTGGTGGTCGATAAGGTGGTGCCTGCTGGGGTAGAGCAGGTCGAGAACGAGGCTCCTGGTGGGCGCTCCATGGAATTGCTGCGCGGTCGGGTTAGAACGGAGAAAATGAAGTCCTTCTTCACCCAAAGACGGAATTCACACGTGGGATTCACCGCCACAGGAAGTGGTGGCGGCTACAAGCATGGACGGCTTCAAAAGGGAACTGGATAAGCATCTGCAGCAGAGGTCCATCGGTGGCTCTTAGCCACAAGGTACAGATAGGGACTCTCAGTCTGGGGCAAGGGATGCTCTGTCTTCTTGGTGCTTAGGGGGGGCCAACGGGGGGGGGGCTTCTGGAGTCCTGGCCCCACTGCTGGACCTCCTGATGGCCCCTGGTATTCTTGGCCACTGTGTGTGACTCAGAAGAGTGTTGGGCTGGAGGGGCCATGGGCCTGATCCCACCCTGGGTTCTCCTCTTACGTTCTTGTGACTTCCCTGGTGGTCTCCTGTCCCCAAATACAGCCCTGCTGAGCTCCCCTGATCTGATGAGAGCCGGCCGGCCGGGGCCGTCCAGGCCAGGCCACCATGTTACTTTCCTGTGGAATTCTCTGCGTTTTCCGGGTGGCTGAGTGGTGATGTGGGGTGGACAATCTTCTGAGGCTCAGTTTTCCTGTGGGGAAACGTCCACCCCACCTGTGGCCCACTTGTATAGCTGTCGAGCTGCCAATCAGTTGTGTCTGATGGGCAAAATGGGGCCTCTACCATGAGGCACGGAGAAGCCGCCCTGCTGGCATCTGGTCCAGGCTCTTCCCTTGCAACCCCTATTTGGGTTTTGCTAACGGTATTTAAACATTTGTTTAAATTTGAATTGGAACATTCCATTCAGTTCACATTTCCCCAGAAAACCCACATCACTGGGGCTGAGCAGCACACGGAGAGGTCTCCAGCCAGGCAGCCCAAATGGAAAGGGTCTGAGCTTCTCAAGCCCTCCCCCCTGATCCCTGCCCCACAGTTTTCACACACACTCTCCCCCCCTCCCCCCCCCCCCCAGACACAGCCCAGGCAGACTCTCCTGGTTCCTGGCAGGGCCCTCCTGGTTCCTCTCGCATTCTAGCCAGAGTCCTGATTTCCTTCGTTTCCCACCTGGAGTTTTATTGTAAGCCACCTCCCTCCTGGACTTTGATTCAAGCAACGCACTTTGCTGGGGGGAGCTCCGGCCTGGTCCACAATGCTCCCTCTAAGCTGTGGAATCTCCATGGATCAGAAGGTCTGAGTCCGTAATTGGGCAGCTGAGAGCCAGTTTGGTGTGGTGGTGAAGTGTGCGGACTCTAATCTGGGAGAACTGGGGTTGATTCCCCACTCCTCCACTTGCACCTGCTGATGTGACCTTGGGTCAGCCACAAGCTCTGGCACAGCTGTCCTTGAGAAAGAGCCGTTTCTGTCAAGAGCTCTCTCAGCCCCACCGACCTCACAGGGTGTCTGTTGTGGGGAGGGGAAGGGAAAGGAGTTTATAAGCCGCTCTGAGACTCCAAGGGAAGGGCCATGGGGTATAAATCGAATCTCTTCTCTTCTTCTTCTTCATACCAACACTGTGTCCAAGTGGAAGGCTGCTGGTGGATTTGAAACCCCCCCCCATCTGCCCTGGAAGCTTGCTGGGTGACCTCGGCCTAACCCACCTCACAGGGTGGTTGTTGTGAGGGTAAAGGTGGACAGCTGCTCCGGGTCTCCACTGTGCTGAAAGGTGGGTCATGAAGGGGCCCAGACAACCAGCTGCCAATTTCTGAGTGCCAGGCGGGGGGCTCTCCCTCCACCTCCTCTCTCTTTCCAGCAGCATCTCTGGGGAGGGGGTGTGCTGGATTGGAGGGACCCCCCCCTCGGTCTGAGTGCAGCATGCCGCGCTTGGCCACCAAGACCAAGATTGTGGTGGCTTGGCTCCCTCCCCCACGTAGCCGCTGAACAGGTGATCTTACAGACCCCTCCCCGCAGCCCCACAAAGAGGGGAGGGGGCGGTTGGATCCCTTTAAAATGTGCCCCT